TCTTGCTGGTCCTTCGAGCCGGATCGAGTGAGTGCGTGTGGGACATTCGAGTGTTTTAGACTTCTTTTCAAATTGCCTCAAAATGAGTGCCGATATTCTCGCGAAACAACTTCATCTGCAGCGTTCGATAGCACGATCGCTCGAGAACCTGAAAAAACTTGGCAAGGCCAATTTCACCGTTGCCAAAATCCGTGCCAGGATCATCACCCTCAAGGACAACTGGGCACAGTTTGACAGCGGGCATCTTCAGCTGGAGAGGGCCGTTCCTGTCGCTTCTCGAGCCACCATGGAATACTTCGAGGAAGATCAATTCGAAGCCACGGAGTCAGTCTATCAGCAAACGCTGGGCGCTATGATGGAGTACCTCGAGGAGTTGGAGCCAGTCGTGAGCCCTAACACCACTCTTGATACAAGCGTCGAGTCTTCGCCTCAATCCGCGTTATCTCTCTCATCTCTTCCGCCAATCAAATTGCCGCCGTTTGACGGAAATTTCGCGGAATGGGAAAATTTTCGAGACCGTTTCACCGCGCTCATAAGAGAGAATAAATCTCTAACGAATTTCGCTCGGATGCATTATCTCGCTTCGTCCCTTAAAGGTCGTGCGCTCGACTGTATTTGCAATCTTGCTGTGACTGCTGACAATTTTCCCATCGCGTGGAAGACCTTAACAAAACGGTTCGAGAACAAACGGCGTCTCATTTCCACCCACTTTTCTACGTTATTCGGCCTGACGGCACTAAATCGCGAATCCGCGTCCGACCTTCAAGCGTTGTGCGACCAAGTCAGCATCGCGGTCTCTTCTTTGAAAAGTTTAAAACGCTCTCCTTCCGAGTTGTGGGACGATTTTCTCGTCCATCTCCTTTCTCAAAAAAATTGACCCCGCTTCACGAAAAGCCTGGCATCTTAAAACAAGCGATGCTGACACGTCTCCGACGCTCGAGGAACTACGTGCGTTTCTTGATTCGAGAATTCGTGCTCTCGAAGATTGTTCGCCAACCCTTTCATCAAAGGGATCTAAATCCAATCAGAGCCGCGTCTCTGTTGCAACCGCGTCAACTTCGTCAACTTCAGCTTGTCCAATTTGTAAGGCGCGACATTATTTGAGCTCGTGTCAAAAATTTCTGTCTCAAAATCCGAGTCAGCGACGTGATACAGTAAAGACTCTCAAGCGATGCTTCAATTGCTTGTGTGCTTCGCATTCGGTTCTGGAATGCAAAAGCAAGTACTCTTGCCGCACCTGCAGCAAGAGACATCACACGCTGTTGCATCCGACCTCGGATTCTGAGACAGGCATTGCGGATTCGTCTGCAACAGACTCATCGCCGTCAACTTCTGCGTCTCCTACAGACGTTGTATCATTATCGACCAATAACTCTCGCGATCCCGCGTGCTTCTTGCGACCGCGAGAGTTAAACTCGCTTCACCCTCCGGTCGGTCTATCATCGTGCGAGCGCTCCTTGATCAGGGCTCGGAAGCCACTTTTATTTCCGAAACGGTAGCTCAGTCGTTATGCGTCAAACGCATTCGTATGCCCGTTACGATCTCAGCCGTCGGGGGAGCTCAAACCGCGATCGTGCGTCATGCTGCTGCCTTAACACTCTCTCCCGAATCATCGAATCACCCGTCGTTTTCGACGACGGCTTTAATCCTGCCATCGCTCACTTCATACGCTCCCAAACGGCCAATCGATCCGTCTGCTCTTTCTCATCTCTCTCATTTAAAATGGGCCGACTCTGATCCTACCAGTGCCGATCCTATTCACGTCCTCATCGGTGCTGATCTTTACAGCGAACTCCTTCTCGACGGCGTCCAGAAAGGACGAGCTGGTCAACCCATCGCTCAAAACTCTTTGTTAGGATGGATAATCTCCGGTCCGGTTTTCTCTGACACAGATCAAACTTCTCTTCACCTCTCCGTTCATTGTACCTCGTTAACATCGCTCGGTGAAGAACTAAAAAGATTTTGGGAGATCGAAGAGCCTCCTCAAGTTCAACTGTCGACTCCGCTCGAAGAGCAATGCGAGTCACATTTCCGGTCGACTCACTCTCGCTCCGCTGACGGACGCTACGTAGTCAGGTTGCCATTTAAAACCGATCCTCCGATCGACATCGGTCATTCGAGATATAAGGCAGAACGCTTACTTCAAAGCTTAATCCGTCGGTTTCACTCGCAGCCGACCTTAAAAAATGATTATTGTGCCTTCATGCGTGACTATGCCGACCTCGGGCACATGAGACCAGCTCCGGCGTCAAGCACGCCGCCTAATCAAACGTACTTCGTTCCCCATCATCCGGTTTTTTGCGCCGACAGTACCACAAGTAAAATCCGCGTCGTGTTCAATGCATCGAGCGTCACGTCAAACGGCTCTTCATTGAACGACCATCTTCACGCCGGCCCAAAACCCCAACTCGATTTACCTGCCATTATTCTGAAATGGCGTCAATTTCGATACGTATACTCCGCGGACGTCGCGAAAATGTACCGACAGATTCTCATTGACGAGCGCGACATCGATTTCCAAAGAATTTTGTGGCTCGGGCACAATAGCGTGGCGCCGTGTGAATATCAGCTGCTTACGGTCACGTATGGAATGACTTGCGCGCCGTATCTAGCCCTCCGCGTATTGAAATGCCTTGTGGATGATGAAGGTGATCGGTTTCCCCTCGCGTCCTCCATCATCCGCAATCAAATCTACGTCGACGACGTCTTATTCGGAGACGACGATATTAGTTCTCTGCGACAACGTCGTGATCAACTCGTCAACTTAATGCGTTGCGGTAAATTCGAGCTGCGTAAATGGGCAAGCAACTCTCCGGCGCTGTTGGAGGATATCGATCCCTCTGGTCATGGGTTAGCATGCAGTAAAACGATTGCCGATGACGAAAAGATTAAGGTTCTCGGGATCGTATGGAATCCCGCGCGCGACACGTTTCAGTTCAGGGTCACCATCAATAGGTCAATTCCGGAGAGCAAACGGGAGATTCTGTCGACAATAGCGAAGCTTTTCGATCCTCTGGGCTGGGTGTCGCCTGTTATAATAGCTGCGAAAATCTTTATGCAACACCTGTGGAGGTCTCAACTGACGTGGGATCAAAAGATTCCTGACGATCTTCAGGCTCGATGGCAACTTATTTTCTCCAAACTGACATTTCTTAATGACGTGTCGATCCCTCGGTGGACGAGAGTACAGCCCGACGGTCAGATTGAGCTTCACGGCTTCGCCGATGCATCCTCTAATGCATACGCGGCTGTGATTTATCTTCGATCAATATCCTCATCTGGCGAAGTTTCAGTTTCACTCCTTACCAGCAAATCCAAGGTCGCTCCGGTGACCCCCCTCACTATCCCTCGCCTCGAATTGTCCGCTACCTTACTTCTCAGCTCCCTCATGCATTTCGTCATAACTTCTCTTGATCTCAGCTCCGTTCCGATCTTCCTGTGGACGTTCCACTATCGTGCTGACATGGTTGCGATCTCATCCTTCTCGGTGGACAACATTTGTGGCCAATCGCGTTGCTCGAATTCAAGCAATCATGTCGGACGTTGCGTGGCGTTACGTTCCTACCTCGAGCAATCCTGCCGACTGCGCTTCGCGCGGCATTCATGCGGATGAGTTGCTCTCGCATCGTCTTTGGTGGCACGGTCCTCCCTGGCTCGTCTTGTCTTCGCGTGAGTGGCCGTCGGATCCTGATCACATCACCCCCGATCCGCCCCTCGAGGAGAAGACGAGAAGGGTACACGCTGTGAACGTGCCCACTCCATGGGATCTCGCGACACGATATTCCTCGTGGACCAAGCTTATACACGTTACTGCGTACCTTTTCAAATTTGTTGACGCCTGTCGTCACATAACGACTCATTTAATTTCGCGTTCCGCGCATCATTGCTCAGTCTCATCCGATGAATGCGATCGCGCGAAGTTATATTGGATAAAACAAGTTCAAGCCGAAATTTTCTCAGAAGAAATTAAGACATTAAACACAAATCGCGCATTATCATCGAGAAGTTCCATCATCGCCTTTAATCCGTTTCTCGATAAACACGGTGTTCTTCGCGTCGGAGGACGCCTCTCACGCGCTCCCCTCCCATACGATTCGCGACATCCGGTATTGCTCGCGCACCACCCGCTTGTCAGATTAATTGTATCCCATGCGCATGCACGAGCATTACACGGTGGCACCCAACTCACGCTAAGTATCCTTCGCAAAGAATTTTGGATACTTCGCGCTCGAAGCCTCGTAAAAGCCGTCATTCATGGATGTATTCCGTGCGTTCGCGAGCGCGCTGCGATTCCGACATAGTTAATGGGCGATCTTCCCGCCTGTAATGAGCGCGAAAACGCCTCATTGCCACGCAGCTATAGCGCACGCAGCAGAGTATCAAATATCTGCCGCGTGCGAAGAAGGAAGTAGACGATGGGACATTAACCCATCGGAACCAAGTCGGCAGTGCTGACGAAGCCACTGCTGACTAGTTAGAACCGACCTGGCGACAGGTCCGAAATTCCGAATAAACGGCCTGACAACAGCCGATTATAAAAACGAATGGAAAGAAGGCAGGGCGGGTCATTCTTAATTAAACCACACGAGTGTACGTTTCTGTATAGATTTTAATAAAAAAGGACTTTTGGTTAAAATACTGGCTTATGGCCTAAGCAGTTGCGAGTTGTTATCCCGGCAACGATCCCCCAAATACCGTGCCCCGACCCAGTCGACGGCACAACACTGGTGGCAGCGGTGGGATGCCATCGATTTCACTCGCGAGCGAGTGACGGACCAAGGCCTGAAACCAAGAGAAATCGAAACCATTACTCAGTGATTGCAAGGAACCAAGGAGAACCCCGAGGCAACATTGAGATAAGTGGACAAAGACACCCGGTAGCAGCGGAGGACTAGAGACGGCACAACGATCTTCACGACGACGGCCCGACCTGCCCCGCCAGCAGACGCTAGCAGCGCAACCGGAGACGGCACCGACTCACCGCGCGGAGATCAGCTCAACCCGAGACGGCACAACACTGGTGCACTGACCTACCGCACGACGAGCAGCCAAGCAGCCAGGACAGCGGACGACATCATGCAGCGGTTCAGCGTAGCGTGAGTCCGCACTCAATTAAACTTAAGCGCGAACATGACCTGCGAGTCATGTCCCAAATCGCGTAACAACCAGCACATTGTCCGCGAATGTCCCACGACGGACAACCTCGTTTAACCTTGACCCCCGATAACTCGTTATCGTTAAATATACGTACACCCATCGCCGAAGAAACTTCCGCGATACAATACGCCGCGGACGCCTTAAGACACATAAGTGATATTTCGCGTCACGCGCTTAACCTTACCCGCTCGAGCAGCGATAGCGAGGCGAGTCCTCCAACCAATGTTACACTCAACCGAGAATTTCCGTTCGACCCCAGCGATTTCAGTTTACTCGCAAATAATACTTCCGATCCCGCGAATAGCGTAGGTACTAGTAGACCCCGACACCCTCGACGTGCAAACACAATTTTCGATACCCCGACGTCACGACACCGACTTGACTTCAATCACGTCCGACGTACCCTATCGAACGCCATGGCACACCCAAACGCCACGACGCAACCAATCGCTAGTACGTCCAATGACATCTTGGCGGACCCGCCTAACGCCGATGTTAACGCAGAAATTCAACGACTACATCAATCGCTAGAAAAAACAAACGTGAGCCCGCTAAATAGCAGAAGGGTCACCTTCAACGAGTCCCCTAGGGAACGGGCTATGTTACACGAATTGTTGCAAGAAATACGCGAACTACGCATTAAAGTGAACGGACTAGAACGGGAAGAGCCGCCGCAGTCGGGAGACCAACGGAGAGACTCTCAAAGTTTCCACGAACACGCGCTAGACTGAACATACGGTAGATCAACGAGTGATATCCGGAACCAACGCGGATCGACAGTCAGTTTCCTGTCGTTAAAGGAAGCGCGGAGCATGATACCCGAGATCGATGGTAACTCGGCAAACCGCGTTCGAG